AGCAAGTAACATCATCCAAAATAATCTTGCATATACTCTGAACACATTCAAGAGTGTTGAGAGATTAACACTGAAGAATGCCAGTGTGTCCCAACTTGGTCATCTCGGAGCAGTTAGAAGGACAACCAAATATTTGGAAGTGAAAAATAGTGGGATGGTACATATGTCAGATATTTTTCTATGTGATGTTGTGTATAAGGAAAGTGTTGAGGGTAGTGATCCCTACAGATGGTCTATGCTCGTTGATGTTGATGTTAGTTACAACCGTATCACCCACATTGATGAGTCAGTTGCTTTGGCTCTTAATGTTGAAAAACTTAATATTAGCTCTAATAAATTATCATCAGTGGAATGTCTGACTAAATTACCAAATTTAGTATCCCTTAATCTCTCAAATAATCTCTTCAGTACCTTAGAAGATATGCACACTAAACTTGTAATGTGGTTCATTTAGATTGTCACAAAACAGTTTGTCCTCATTAAAAGGACTAAGTAAACTTTACTCATTATCATCACTGAATGTTTCAACCAACAATATCTGTGAAATCTCAGAGGTTAGTCACTTGTCTCGTCTGCCTTGTCTGGAGACCCTTATCCTCACAGGCAATCCTGTTGCAACTATAGTAGATTACCGCACCAAAGTACTAGAGCTCTTTGGGCAAGGCATCAGAAATCTGTTTGGATAATGAGAGACCAACTCAAAGAGAGCTGGAGTTTGTTGCAGTGCTGCAGGCCATCAGGCATCAAGAGAGGGGCGTTACCCACACTGAGTATATCTAGCCCTCTTCCTATCACCTCAGGCACTCTCTCGTTTGTCCCACCTGACTTAGCCACAGCTGTCAGTGAATCGTCCAGTAACTAATAATCATTTTGAAGCCTTCTTCCTTGAGAAATAATTAATTTTCAATTAAACCCTTTGACTGTCGCGGCCGTATATATATGTCTTACGAGGTTCCATGTTTGACGTATATATACTCATAAATTCTAGCGGCTTCAAATCAAGCAGAGAAAGCTGGTAGGTCCACATGTGGAGAATGGGTCTGTGTGGTCAGTGTGCACCGTATAAAAAAATCCTGGAGCACGCAGTGCATAATGAGAAAAAAAAAACTCGGACCGTTTTTTTTAATTAAAATGCCGACTTTGTGGTCTATTTTCGTATAGTATTTATGATTGTATTCTCGTTTTCTTGGTCTCATTTGATAGAATGGAAAACATATTATAGAAATAGAGGTGATTTTGATTGATTTTACTATAAAAAGAACCTGGAAATGGAGCTCAAAGTATCGAAATGTTTGATTTTTGCCAATGTTCAAAAGTAAACAAATGATGGCATTGTCCAATAAATGTCCAACTAGCCATTCTAATATGCATTCATGAATGGGTTGATGTTATTTATACAATTATTGCAGTATTGCAGTAGTCTGCATAATACTAAGTCTTCTATATTTTGTTTTGAATAAAAATTCAAAGTAGAAAGCAAGAGTAATATCAGAGGGGTCTGGAGACATGATTGATGAGCAAAGAAAATGTTATTTTAGAGCCAGGAATGTTCTGCATTGTTCATTCTGACCTTATTTTGAAATTGTCATATTTTTTAATTTTCGTGAAATTGGCCAAATTGCAAATTTCTGACCACATTATTGGTAGTTGAAATTGGTATATGGGCAGTTTCTTGTACTCAATCGATAGAAAAAATGGAGTTCTAAAGAAATAGCTATGAGTTTGGTCGACTGGAACAGCGGAATTAGCCGAAAATAGGGCTCAAAGTGGGCGAAATTGCCGATTTGTAAATATCGCCGAGGTCGCTAAACTTCGCGAGAGCATAATTCCGTCAGTTTTTCCATCAAATTTCGTTTTTTTGGTGTCATTTTAATCGGGAAAAGATTCTCTATCATTTCATAAGAAAATTTTTTTTTTTTTTTTAAATTTGTTGACACCAGGAGACACCTCAGGATTAGGGTTGTGACAGTCAAGGGTTAATAAAATTCCTTAGATTAATCCTTTCAAAGGAGAGATGCTTTTATGCTAGAAAAGGAATCTTAATCCAAACGATTAGAGCCCTCCTTAACCTAAGATAAAACCTAATATCCTCCCATTCCAAGAGTTGTATGACCCTTCCAAGTTTAGTATTTCCCTATGACTGTAATAAATAATAAAACATAAATTACTTTTTTTTATTAGAAAAGTGTTTAATCTAAGTTTTCATAGAAGTGCTATATGATTTTTGTTTTCTTATGATGACAGTACAGTAAGGCCCCAACTTTTGACATCTCATACTTTCAGTATTGGCACTTTGGAAACAGTTATAGTAAAATAATAAAAACAATAATAATAATGCAGTAATACAAAAAATAAATTTATTTCTACAAGGTGCATAATTGTTGCAAAATTCGATGACATTAATTGCTTACGAAAGCTGAGTTGAAATCGTACTCTTTGCAGATACAGCGATACCTTGACTTATGAGTTTAATTCATTCCGTGACCCAGCTCATAACTCAGTTTGCTTGTATATCAAATCAATTTTCCTCATTGAAATTAATTGAAATGCTAATAATCCATTCCAGTGGAATTCCTGGCTCTCGGGAGCAGGAGAAAATACTTCGGTGTAATGCTAACATGAACTCTACGGCTTATTTATCTATCAAAATTGATCTAATATGACATAATAAACAATATAAATAACACAGAAACATGATACATACTCTAGAATGAATAAAATATATCATTATGTGACGAGTGGTGGCGGCCACGCCCAAGGTAAAAATAATTATCGCTCTGACCATATCTTCCCATTTTTGCCCTTCTGAGGTCTTAATATGAGAGAAAATAGAGTGTTTGTGAGGCTAACTGCACTAGATCACTAGTTTTCATAAAGAAACACACAGAAACAAAAGCGATTTTCTTGGAATTTTTTTTTTCTCCAAGTCAGGAGACCGGCCTACGTTTTGGGTGAATATCTCCGAAGTAAATCAGCATAAATGCCTCGTGCCTTCTCCCAGAGAAGGCGCAAGGCACGTAGTACATGCTACGCTTGTACTGCCTCGCCTAGTCGACTACACACACCACCTCACTCGTGTTTTCTATTATTTCATGCTTTAATTCAATGGACATCGTCCTCTTCTTCTCAGCACTGTCCTTTGCACTTACTTTCTTAGGACCCATGGTTAAAAAGAAGAAATTTGGCAAAATAACTGCACAAAACACAAGCACAACACAAGAGAGATGCTTCCACAACATACTCAACCCCTGTCAATTTGGGTTCAGGCCTAATAAAAATACTAATGATGCTATTATCCACATGCTAGAGCATATTTATACAGCAATAGAAAAAAAAGAAGTCCCACTGGGTATCTTCATTGACTTACGTAAAGCTTTCGATACAGTTGACCACGACTTGCTCCACATAAAATTGTCGCACTGTGGTATAAGAGGGCACTCCCTCAACTACCTGAAGTCATACCTCAGCAACAGAAGCCAATGTGTGTACACAAATGGGGCAAACTCTTCCTCACAGCCAATTACAGTTGGTGTCCCACAGGGAAGTGTCCTAGGCCCTCTTCTCTTTCTCATATACATAAATGACCTACCAAATGCATCGCAACTACTCAAACCCACACTATTTGCAGATGACACTACATACGTCTACTCTCACCCGAGCCCAGTCATGCTAGCCAGTACTGTAAATACCGAATTACAGAAAATATCAACCTGGATGAGGACCAACAAACTTACTCTAAACATTGACAAAACCTACTACATTCAGTTTGGTAACAGAGCTACAGATGTGTCTCTTAACATAATGATAATGGATCACCTATACACAAAACTCACAGAGGGAAAATTCTTAGGAATCCACCTTGATAATAGACTCAAATTTCAAACACATATACAACAAATTTCCAAAAAATTTCTAAGACCGTAGGCATACTATCGAAGATACGGTACTATGTTCCACAGTCAGCCCTCCTGGCCCTATATCACTCGCTTATTTAACCCTATCTCACCTATGGAATTTGTACAACAAACCATCTCAGACCACTAATCACCCAACAAAAGGCTGCAGTCAGAATGATAACAAATTCCCACTACAGACAGCACACTCCACCAATATTCAAAACTCTAAACCTACTCACAATACAAAACATCCATACTTATTACTGCACCTACTACATACATATATATACATACATATAGTAGTAGGTTGGTAGACAGCAACCACCCAGGGAGGTACTACCGTCCTGCCAAGTGAGTGTAAAACGAAGCCTGTGATTGTTTTACATGATGGTAGGATTGCTGATGTCTTTTGTCTGTCTCATAAATATGCAAGATTACAGGCATGTCTTCTACTTCTACTTACACTTAGGTCACCTACACTCATGTAACATTTATTTAACACACCATCGATTTTTCTTTGATTTTATCTTAATAGTTCTGGTCTTTTTAAATTTTTCCCTTTATACCCAAAGGGGAAGTGGAATAAAATTTCCCTCCAAAGCCAGCGGTTTAAAAGTCAACTAAAATGCCGGGAACAATGGGCTAGTAACCCTTTTCCTGTAAAGATTACTAAAAAGAATAAAAGAAGAAAATTTCAAAGGGGAAGCCCGAATGTGCCGTGGATTTTTGTGCAAGATAAGAAAGAATGTTTGGGGAGTTATGAATGAAAAACAGTCCGGCTTTAAGTAAAACAAAGCTGAAGGGGGGGGGAAGTTTCAGTGGAGAGGAATAAATGGGTTGGGTCAGGGTTTAAAATGATTAGAGCAAAAAGAAGGATAGCAATAATGTTAAGGATAACTATGGCAGGAAAAAAAGGGACTATAAATGTATTAAATTTAAGGGTTATGTGGAGTAAAAAAAGATTTGGATGTGAAAAGTGGGGTTTTAAAACGTGATGCACCTGGGGAAGGAGAAGTGAGAGGAAGAGAGAATTTTTTGGGAAAAAGTTGAGTGAAAAGCGTGGGGGGTTTTTAAACAAGTTGAGAGTAATGGTGGTTGGGGATTTTAATGCTAAAAGGGTAAAAAAATTAGGAGGGGAGTAGGTAAATTTGGGGTGCCAGGGGGAAATGTAAATGGGGGGCCTTTAATTGAGCTATTTTAAAAAAAATTGGAATAAGTAATACATATTTTATGGAAAAAAAGGGGTAAATAAATATACAAGGTAGATGTAGCACGTAATGAAAATAGTTTATTAGATTTTGTATTGGTGGATAAAGGTTTATGGGGAGGGTCCCGATTACATGTTTATAAGGGGCAACTGATAATCGGGTCATTTTTTATTTTTAGCTACATTTGAGTAAAAGGTAGATGGGGAAAAAAGGAAGGGGGGCAAAAAACAAGTAAGAGGGGGGGAAAGTGTATAAACTAAGGGGGGAGGGAAATTCGGGGGAGATACAAGCGACTATTGCAAAAGGTGGGCTAGTGCAAAAATATTTGTGGGGGGTTAAAGGGTGGAATAGTTTTAAAAAACAGTATTAAATGTGGGGCAGAAGTTTTTTGGGTTTTAGGAGGGGGGGGGCAGGAGGGAAAAAGGATGATTGGTGGAAAGATGAAGTAAAGGTGTGATAAAAGAGAAAAAGGGGCTTATGAGAGGTTTTTTCAAAGCGAAGTTTATAAAAAAAGTATATGGAAGTAAAAGAAAGGTAAAAAGAGTGGGGAAGAGTGCAAAAAGGGAGCAGATGAAGATGGGGGAGGCACTTCAAGAAATTTAAAAGAAAATAAAAAAAAAATTTTTGGGGTGATTTAAAAAAATTAAAAAAGCCAGGGAAAATATGGATTTTTCAGTTAAAACAGAGTAGGGATTAGAGATGGGGAGATGGAGGTATTGGGTAATGGGGAGAATATTTTGAGAACTTTTAAATGTTTTAAAGGAAAAAAACAAGGCAGAATTTCATGCACTGGGCCGGGAGATACCATCTTTAGGAGTGAAGAAAAGGGGAATGTAATTGGGGAG